GAAGGCATGGTCAAGGTCAAGGATGCATCCTGGGTCAGGAATTTGATCTGGGCCGACCGGTGGCTGGTACTGCGCGAATTCGAGCTGAACTTTTTCAAGAGCCCTAATGCCTCCAAAGCATCAACCACGATTCAACTGCGAGACATCCTCGGCGTGGAGCGATCAGACACGCAGCCTTTGTCCTTTGAAATCACCAAGGCTGCCAACACCAGCAAGGGCTCGTCCCCGCCCCGCGATGGCCCTACGAAGGTCATTACATGCAAGGTCGAGACTGACGATGACGTCTACTCGTGGATCGACAGCATCTACCAGCGCTGTCCCAGCATGGGCGGTGTCAGCAACCCCACCAACTTCACCCACAGAGTCCACGTAGGCTTCGACCCTAACAGCGGAGCGTTCGTCGGTCTGCCGGTAGAATGGGAGAAGCTTCTTACCGCATCCGCTCTGACCAAAGACGACTACGCGAAGAACCCCAAGGCTGTTCTGGAAGTTTTGGAGTTCTACACCGAAAAGCTTGTCAAGCGCTCCGAGGACCCTCAGCAATACCCGAGTCTCACTCCGACCCCGCCAACAAATGCTGGAATGGAGAAGCAGCTTGGATACGGTGGCAGCGGAAATTCAGTTGCACCTCCGCGCCCTGCACCGCCTGGCAATTATCAGCGAAAAGACAGCTACAGTCAAGGCTATGGCGGTCAACAAAATTCGGCTTCGCAGCAACAAAACCGCTACGAACAGGAACGCTACGAACAAGATCGCTATGAACAGGATAAGAGGAGGCAAGAGGACCAGATCAGGGCACAGCGCGAACGCGATCTCCAGAGGCAGAGGCAGGAGTACGAGCGCCAGCAAGCGGAGGATGCTGAGTACAATAGGCAACTTGCGGATCTAAAGAAGGTCCCTGCGGCACAACAAGAAATTGGCGGAGGCGGCATTTCGCGAGATCAGAGCCCGTCAGGCCAGAGGTACAACCCCAGCCGCCCTGCGCCATCGACTCCCGGTTCCGCAAGAGGCCCACAGCAGCAGCCCCCGCGGCAGCCAGTCGCACAGCGTCAAGCGCCTCCAGCACCTCAGCAACAGAATGGTGGCTACAGCACATCTCCTTCCAAAGCGCAGTCCACTCAGCAGCGACCGCCCATGGCCTCGAAGAATTCTAGTGGCCAGGTTCCCAGGGTTGCTAATGGTCAAAACCAACAGCAAAAGCAATACCAGCCAGGTGCTGCACCCAAGCCGTTGAACGTTGCTAAGCCTCAGAATGCTCCTGTCAGTGATGCAGTGAAGAAGGCCGAGCAGGCCCTTACTGCTAAGCCCAAGGAGGAGCCAGCACGGAAGGACGTGCGCATGTCCAGCATGTCCGAAAGCGAGGTCATGGCGAAGCTCCGGGAGGTCGTATCCAAAGAACGGCCACTGGACTCATACAACAAGCAAAAGAAGATTGGTCAAGGTGCTAGTGGTTCCGTGTATGTTGCCCGCATCCGTGAAGGTGCCACTTCGCCCATGGCCCGAAGGGTTATGCAAGAAAATGGCCCACGTGCACAGGTCGCTATCAAGCAGATGGATCTCCGCAACCAGCCACGCAAAGAACTTATCGTAAACGAGATTATCGTCATGAAGGACAGCAAACACCCCAACATCGTCAACTTCTTGGACGCGTTCTTGCAAGAGGAGCAGTCCGAGCTTTGGGTCGTCATGGAGTTCATGGAGGGAGGTGCTTTGACCGACATCATTGATAACAACCCTTCCATTAGCGAAGACCAGATCGCGACCATTTGCTTCGAGGTAAGTTATGTAGCATGGACTTTGGGGAATCTACACTGACAATCATCAGACCTGCAAGGGACTTGAGTATCTCCACAACTTGAACATCATCCACCGAGACATCAAGAGTGACAACGTCTTGCTCGATGGCCGTGGCAATGTCAAGATCAGTATGTATCCGACACGTATCCTCTATCGACAGCTTGCTAACCTTTGACAGCCGACTTCGGTTTCAGTGCGAAGCTCACCGAGCAGCGCAGCAAGCGTGCGACTATGGTCGGAACTCCATACTGGATGGCCCCTGAAGTCGTCAAGCAAAAAGAGTATGGCAACAAGGTCGATATCTGGTCTTTGGGTATCATGGCCATTGAGATGATCGAGTCTGAACCACCTTACCTGAATGAGGAGCCGCTCAAGGCTTTGTATCTCATTGCCACCAATGGCACTCCTCGTCTCAAGAAGCCAGACAAGCTCTCGAAGGAGCTCAAGGCCTTCTTGTCGGTCTGCCTTTGCGTCGACGTAAAGTCACGAGCAAGTGCCGGAGAGCTGATAAGCCACGACTTCCTCAAGAGCGGATGCAGCCTGGCGAGCTTATCTCAGTTGCTCAACTTCAGGAAGAACGGCGGCCACTAAACCCCGACTGGGCACGCCACTACAACATCAAGACTTCTTCCAGTTGAGGCCACAAGAGTGATGGCGAGCTGTTTCATGCTTCTGGACTTCGATACCCTTTCCATGTACATTTTCCCAGCTATACCCAGGCTTCCCGGCTTCCGTCCTTACCGAACGATCAACGACATACCACGAAACCTAGGAAGGCGTCATTCGCTTGGGCAATATCAGTTTGGTCACCTGTACCCTCTTTGGTCGCTACGGAATTTGCCTTTATACATCCCATGTAACTACTCCATCCGCTATTCGCCTTCTCGTCCGTTCTCTCAGAGCGCCAAACCAAGCGCCCTACGAGCGGTAGATTTGCCTCTAGTCTACAAACGGTGCTCGAAGATAACCGAATTTGGAGGGGTGAGGTCCATTGCTCCTAATCTTTCTCTTCGGGCCCGATATGCGTGCGCACTAGGTAACTTGTCATGTTTGTTCTTTTCAACGTTCCACAGCGTAGCGATATCACGGTCTGGCAATCTTAAGCATCCAGGCGCAATATTTAGGGTTCTTCGTAATTAAATCTTTTGGGAGTACATGTGGATACCGATAGATCAAATGGCAGTGTCACAAAAGTCCAATGCGAGCTCTTCCTCTTTTGTGCTTGACTTGCCTTCTGCGCTCAGGCCTACCTTCGCTGTCTACACACTCGCAGTTTCGGCTATACCGTACGGGATAATTAGCACATACACTAATAAGAATTTGCAAACACCGAAGCTGCCACCAATATCGCAACACGGCCAGCCAACCACTCGTCACGTGCCATGGACAACAGATCCCAGTCCATCTTCCAATGCCTTGGCTTTGTGTCCCCCTATCAGCGAAAAGCAGATTGCTCTTACAGGCTGCAGCGGACTTTTAGAGATCTAGTAACCGGTAATGTGTATCCAGGATAGTTACGTTTGTGTGTGCTAGGTAAGACAAGGTAAGCTGGAAAGCCAGTTCGGGACTTCGACTGCGTTTTTGACAACGTTTTATTGTGTTGTTATACTTTGTGTTGCTGCATTCGTGTAGCTAAAGGCGTGCTATACCTTTGATGAAAACGACCTGCGGGGTTACTTGGAAGTCTACTGTTGTATGGATTTTTGTTTTTTTGGAGGCTGGGTTGGAGCGTTAGGGTGGCGTTGTTTTAGTCTCTTTTTGCGTGGGTTGTGCAGGTGTAGGCGGAGTTAGAGGTAGAGTAAAGGTAAAGACAAAACCGCTAAGGTGCGGGCTTAAATAGCTAATATGTGTTTTCCTATTTACTCTTTGTTATAGTCCTCTATCTACTAGCTACTAAGTATAGCTGTGCGAGAACGAGTTAAGGCTTTTGCGCTTTGACCTTGCCTAGAATACTCCCTGTCGTACCGCGCATCACTTTCCAAATCGTACTCTCATCAGCCCACCACGATCGCGGTGTAAGCAAATTGCAGCGTATCCAAAAAACTACTTAACATTCGTCAGGCGCTGGCAGTTATAGTCACAACAAAAACGATGTTTCGACCGTTCCGATTTCTCGACTTGCCTGTCGAGTTACGACTCATGGTATACAGCCTCATCCCCAATCGCACCATCCATGCCCGATACGTCAAATTCAGCGAAGACGGAACAACCACGAATAGCTTCACTCTTATCACGTACACAGCGCCCACAGCCATCCTGGCTACATGCAAGACCATCAACAACGAAGCCGCAGATATTATCCTCAAGACCACACAACAGCTTCTACCGGGTCAAAACGCCACGGAGATAGCTCCCTTTATCACTGGCGTCACACCGCGAATCGAGACCGACGCTTCGAGTCTACGAGTAATCGGAGACGAGAAAGGGCCTATAAGAGCGATGTTCGACTGGTTCTCCACCCTTCGGACAGAGGACTACGATGATTTCGACGCTTCTCTTCCGAGGTACGCATACGACGCATACGACCTCCTCACCAGCCACGGATACATAATGGAGGGCGGTACGCTGGCAGAATCAGTCCGTCACCTCATCAACTTCATCCGCAAATCTGGACTTCTGCTTCGGACTCGTCGCCGAACGACTTGGGTGCTGGATAACAGGTCGCATGCGCTTCATGTTGCTTTGACCGCGGGTGGCGAGACCGAGCGTGATACGAAGATTGTAGTAAAGGAATTCAGTAAAATGATAGGGCCCCGGACATCCAAGCAGACGGGGGATAACTATGTCAGAATCTCCACACTCGCAAATGTACCAAGGGCACATTGGCAAGCTATCTGCTGGTATATCGAGAGTAAAGAATGGGGGCGTCGTCGGGTTATTGAGGCTCAGCGGTGGTCTGGAAAGAGGAAGAACGTTCCTGAGGAAGCAACGCTTGTGTTTGGTTGCTATGACTTGGACGAAGAGTTTGAAGAAGTCTACGACAAGTTTTGGAGGGAAGGAGACTGGGAGCTTTGAAGGGATGTACATATGACTAGGTGGGAAGGTGGTGTAGAAGAAGCCCGATGTATATGTAGGCCGTGCTCTACCTGGGTGTTGGGGAATCGGATGAGCAAGCCAAAGGACACGGATTCGAAAGGGTGCACGCTTTAGCCATTCATTCATGGGTTTAGTACAGCGAGAAATTTCGATTTCAACCCACCACCTCAATTAACCCCCAACAAATCCGGCAACTCAATCAACTCCCTCTGCATCTCGCTACACATCTCCAAGAACTCCCTCTTCTCCATCTCCGTCGCAAACTCAATCTTCGCCCCACTAATAACCTTCCCCTTGTCCACACTCTTCCCAACCCCCACTTTCTCCTTACCTTTCCCTGTAACAGAAGCAGTGGCAGCTTCCGCAAAACTATCCTTCCTCATCGCGCGATCACCTCGATCAATCGGCACTCTCAGCCCTTTGATCTTCACCTCCCTGTCCCCGCCGTCTTTCACTTTGATGGGATTGACGGAGGAGTTGAGGTAGAAGGCTAGATAGCCGTTTCGGAAGTCGGCGGAGAAATGGATCAGAGCGATGATGGCGCCTGTGTCGTTGTCTTCCCAGACGCGGAGGTTCTCCAGGCCGCACATTTGCTCAGCGTAAGAGAAGGACTTGGAGAGGCCTTCGTGAATGCGCATTGTTTTCTCTGTGCGGAATGTCGCGAGTAGAGTGCGGCCCATTAGTTCGTTTTGGAAGAGTGCGGCCGCTGAAAATGCAGTTAGTCATCGTCTTCTTTCTAAAATGCCATTTCAGTAGTCTACCTTGTGGTGAGTCGAAGACGTAGTTGATCCAGCTAGTCTTTTCTACACGCACTGGCCGATTGCCGTGCTTGACGTCGTGAAATATGAGCTCGCAGAGGACTGTGATGGAGGCTTTGGCTGGGTTGAAGTAGCTGGAGTACGGGATGTACATCTGGTCGTCTTCCATACGTAGCTCCACGCGGGTGGTGTTGTCGTCGCTAAACGCCCATACGGATGTCACGACGCGCACTGCCTTCGTCTCAGGGTCGGTTACGCGTTTCCGTACTACGGCGATTCTGCACTCTTCAGAAGCCTGGACCATTTCTACGTCTCTTGGGTCGTCCTGGTTTATCCTGTGTGAGTACTCGACGAGCAAACCGCGACTATCTGTAATTAGCATTGCTGAACACGTACATTGAGAAGAACGGATTAAGAGCAAAGTCGGCTTACACATCACATAGAATGGCGGAGTTGCGAAAGGCTTCCTTCTCGAATGCGGCTTTTTGACTGGTAGTGGTTGAACTTCTGTGAAGTTTCATGATCTCTGGTTGTGACGGAGGGTAAGGGCTTAGCATGGCATGCGATGTCTGAGTAGGTGTTCTTTCGAGTTCATGAAGTGAGCCGAGCTTCATAGCCGGAGGTGGGAGTAGCGTGTGATGCCGACTGTCAGCCTTTCGGCCCGGCTCGCATGCTTCCGGTGTCCTTGGAAGAGGTGATGTTTTCTTGATCGATGTCGAAAACTGTCCGCTCAGACGAGAGTCAGGCAGTAACGAAGATGGACTTTGCCAACCGACTGAGCTTGTACCAGCGTCAGACGATGCATAGCTACTGCTGGAGTATCGCAAAGATGAGCCGCCAAAGCTAAATTCCGACACACGTTTTTGAGCGGGTGATGATGTTCTTGAGGCGCTCACGACATCCGCCGGAGATGTCGGAACAGGAGCATCATCGTTGAATCTGACTATAGAGGACTGTTCGTAGGACTCCGGGCGCTGCGGGACCCGTGGCAGAGATATTTTGATATTTTGTGACCTGGGTGGAGATTCTGGGGGAGATAAAGCATGGTACATTTGGCTCAATGGGTCGGCGTTTTCGGTGGTCGGTGAACGCGCAGGGTTCTTTGCTGGCACGGGTGGCACATGTGAGGTGCGTGGTGCAATCATTAGGTCCTCTACCATACGATGTACTTCGTCCAGCTGCTGATCGATGCTTCCAGCCGAGTGATGCATGTTGTGGATTCGCTCTGCCGTTGGTATGATGTTGCTGTCCATACGAGCCATAGACTTGCTGCGCCATGGTCAGTAGATGTATGACGTAGATTTGGCAGCACTAGCCTTTGCAATGCTTCCGTCAGCTCATCGATAGAGTTCGTATGTGTCTGTAACATCTCTTTCAGATCTGCGAGGTTTCCGCCCTCAGGAGTCCAGATCATCGTCCTGTATGAGGCTAATACCAGATCGCTCCATGAGCGCTCGATTGCGAACCCTCCAACTGTGCGGTGCTTCTTGATGACTTGGTATTGGTCGATCAGCGAGTCAAGGTCATCTACTGTCCGTTGACAAGACCTTAGGATGGTGCCAACGCCATCTTTTATTTCCTGGTCAGCGTCCTGTAACAACTGCCGCACGGACTCCGCGTGCAGCGTCTCTGCCAACGATGCCAGTGATTTTGCGAGGCTGCCAATTTCCGTCTCAACATATTGAAGCTCCACTGGTGCATTCTTTTGGCAAGCAGAAAAGGTGCGCCCAATCTTCCAAGCCTTCTGCGACAGCACCAAGATGTCCCCAATGCTGGGGACGGTCATGGTGGTGGACGATGACGAGTCATACACGAAGTTGAGCAATCAGCCAGGTAGTAAGACGGCGCACGGATGGGGATGTTGATAGCAATTCGAAGTGTCCATAAGGTCTAGAGAATAGGCATAGAACATCCGGGGGAGCTCTCGATATACTGTGGACACGGGAGGCGTGGGGGCTATGCGATGAGGATTCGCAGCACAAACTAGAGCAGCCCAGCGCCGTGCGCCTGGGATATAAGACTCCATAACGACTGCCCGCGTGTACTGTGGGGACCGGTGGCCGGGTGTTCCAGTTCGCAGAGGTTGAGAATGGAGGAGCATGGGTCGCGATGCTCGACCGGGATACCACGTGGGTCAGGTAGCGTCTCGTCATTGGCGTCAACCGCACAACCGACATTTGCCCCGCGTAGCTGTCAATACCTGCCAACCGGCGCTGGGCTCAATGAGGACCGACATGCGCGCAAGCTTAGACTCCGCAAGTTCCAGCAATTGTGACACGCATGCGCAAGACGAATGTGTTTGGTGCAAAAAGCGGGCTACCACTCGGACCGGGCAGCCATGGCACCGGCCGTCCTGCAGGGTACCGTCAATTCGTATTAAGACTTTGGTATACATGTACAAATCCCGCCTCCTGTGGGATACGTTTTGCCGACTTCCGTGCGACCTGATAGAGTAGAGAAATTTTCGAACCCATGGTACTTGTATGGCCCATCTTCCCGACCGTCACGGTCCAAATCATACCCGAGAATCCATGCGCCTAGAGTGTGTAGTATTGTACAATGAATCGCAAATCGTTGTTGTCATATCGTCGTCTGGTGCTTATGCGAGGGGAGAGAAAAGACTAGAGGGGTCAGCGAAGTTCCCAAATATACATCAGCCACGATCAAGTGGTATCTTGAGAAAGAGGTTCAGGGCAGAAGCGAGTGAGCGGAAGAGCAGAAAGACCATAATTCCCATAGATGCCTTGGTCTCCCACTGACACTGCTAGGCTGGCCCATTATTGCCTTGGTGCAATCTTGCAGGAACAATATCACAGTCTCCTTCTCATCGTCTGCTTCCAATCTCCGGAAGTCGCCAGGCTGATTTCCACAGCTTGTGACGTTCTTTGCCATGTGAAGAGTGACCTCGTGCTTATAGGAAACGACCGGGGTGGGCGGTGTACTCACCGGATGAGAGAAGGCTTAGGCTCGCTTCGGGAGTATCCGAGGTATAGGATCAAAGGCAGGTAGCCGTAGTGAATAGCGACGCGGGAGACATCGATGATGCGCGCGATGCGCTCCTGTATGGAGTCAACGGAGGCCCGATCTGTATATACTTGGCGTATCGACGTACCTTGGACTCTTCTGACAACTGGTACATGTTGAGTATGTAGTTAGCCTGGGTTGAGGTGGTCGAGTCGTGTGCTGTATTGGGTGAAGGCGGGCCCAGCGAACGAAGTTGCGATGATGCGTAAAGCTCAAAGTTTTGGGATTAGCCGCATGCGTGTTAGCGCAAGCTCGGACTGGAGCTCCAATATCTTCCAGATACCTTCACTTCGTTCCTGAACACCAATACCCATTCACGACGCCTCACGAACCCCACTGAATCGCTCGAATCTCTATTGCGACCCAGGATCCAGAGTTTCGAAACTATAGACACACGTCTTTCAACATGTCGGCCCCGAGTGCGCGTCACTGGTAAGTTCCAGCATTCCGAGTAGCGAACAAGTAGCGAACATGGACTCACGAATGCGCAGGGAACAGAATAAAGAAGCCACAGTCTACGTCGGAAACCTCCATGAGCGCATCACGCCCCGCATTCTTCACGAGCTGATGCTCAACGCCGGCCGAGTACGAAATGTCAACATGCCCGTTGATCGCGTCAATGGCCAACATCAAGGGTTCGGTTTCGTAGAGTTCCACACGGAAGCAGAAGCAGATTACGCGCCCAAGATCATGAACAACGTCGCCTTATACGGAAGCCGGATACGTGTTAACAAGGCGTCCGCAGATAAGCAGAAGAATGTTGAGATTGGCGCAGAGCTGTTCATTGGTAACCTTGATCCTGGAGTGGACGAAAAGACACTGTACGACACATTTGGCCGCTTCGGACCGTTGGTGAATGCGCCCAAGGTCGCGCGCGACGACATCACGCAAGCATCCAAGGGATACGGTTTCATCTCGTACGGCGACTTCGAATCCTCGGATGCGGCAATCGCGAGCATGCACAACCAGTACATTATGAGCAAGCAGATTACAGTTCAATACGCATATAAGAAGGATGGAAAGGGCGAGCGGCACGGCGACGAAGCGGAGCGTATGCTTGCGAAACAGGCCAAGGCCCACGGAGTTGCGCCTGCTGTGCAACCTCTGCCGGCACATCTTTTCCAACTCCCACCAGGTGCTGCACCTAGTGGACCAGCCATGGGCATGGATGGACGTGGCATGCCCGGCGCACCAAGCGGACCTGGAGCAGGATACGGACCTCCTGGCGGACCTCCAGGTGGACCTCCTGGGTACGCTCCCAACGGTCCTGGAGGCTATAGCCGTCCTCCTTCCGCAGCCCCGGTCGGCCATCCAGGTCTTCCACCACCCCCATCTGGCTTGCCTGCTCGCCCACCAAGCGGCGCTCCGACGAACTTCTTCCCTCCTCCGCCCGGGTTCAACGGCCCACCGCCAGCCTTTGGTGGTCCACCAGGTTTCGGAGGACCCCCCGGCTACGCTCAGGCACCGAGGTAGAGAGAAGAGACGTGAAGGGATCAATGACAATCACGTTGAATATGGGCGTTGTAGCTTGAGCAGTCTCCAAGATGCTAGGACCGGTACATCTGCGAGCCAGGGGACCCAGCCCGTCGGTAAAATAGCCGTCCACGGAAATCGCGGAAGTCATGGCCTCTGATCGACCTGAAGCAGCATGAGACGATAGGGTCACGATTAGGTGGCATGATGTTCACCACGCTTCGAGTTGAATAAGGGAAAACATCAAAAGTGTATTCGAGAAGGCGCTGAAAGGTCAGCTAAGGAAAGACGCAGAACTCGGAAGAACAGAAGACACAGGATATCTGGCGTCCAAATCCGTACTCGCAGAAAGATACCCGCCAAGAGCATGTCAGACAGAGATAGGCCACTGAAGGCAACAAAGGAAATGTAGTAATGTGTCCAAACTCCATACAAAAGAAAGAATTACGAAAGAGGCCTGTGAATGAAATCCGCCATTGAACCCAGTCGTTGCAATTACGAGAAGCTGACAAACTTGGGGTCGCGGGGTATCCCATCTGCACCAATGTTGTTTTTCTTGAACCTCTCTTGCATGTATATCCTACGTGCCTCGTCGAAGTCGCAGCCGCGTCTCTTCATAATGCGCATAACCTCCTTCTTCCCCGCGTCGTCCAAGCCTTGGCGCGAGTCGCCGGCTTCCACGTTCCCACTCAGGTCAAACGCTGAGGACGAAAGGCCGGCTTCGATGTCGTCGCGGAACGAGGATGGGAGGCGCGTGTAGATGGGTCCGGGGATAGGCAAAAGGTGTATCCAGCGGTGCCGGGTGAAATAGGCAGCTGCGCAGTGTTAGTGTGGCGCAGGAGGTGTTCACTAAGGCAACATACCTGTCGCAATCACCAGAACGAAGAGCGAGACGGAGTAGAGGATGTAGGCCATGATGAAGGTTGCTTCCGAGGCTGCACGAGAGGTCTATAGCGTATGCGACAGAGCGGAGGTCTTCGGGAGTGCGGGAGGGAGCTGCTCGGCGCGACAAAGGAGTTGGTGATGAATACAAAAGAAACGGATGTGAAGTAAATTCAGCGGTAGTGTGTAGATGAGCGCCTCTGAAGCCAAGGCATTAGGGGAGGTTGATGCAAGACAACGATGGTTTGTAACCACGGAGTCGCGGACAAGAACGCTCGGCTGCACCGCCTCACGTCGCGCGTTCATGCATCGTCACTTCCGCTCCGCTCTTGGCGTCGGCACCCACGTTGATCCATCCCCGAAACACGCACTAAGCGCATGCGGTAATGCAGACGAGGGCCCTCGATTCAATATTGGCGAACTTTCCCAACGTCAAGCAATCGACATCGTCCGTATCCACATTCCATACAGACACAATGGCCACCACTATCTCGCACGATCTTGCCTGGGAGGTTACCAGTGAGTGAAAGACTGGGACGCGCATTGGGGAGGGATTGGGGTTGACATATGGCAGAGGGACGCAGCTCCACGCTCGTCAAGAGGGCGAACGGTGTCCAGTTCTCGCGCGATCCTCTTAACCTGAGGAACGTGTACAGCCGCAAGGTATGTGTGGATGTTGTATTCTTGGGGACAGTCAGCTAATTCTGCTCAGAACGAGGGCTCCATTGCCAACAAGGTACGACTACCACGAACCACGAATGCGCCGCGCGCACATGCGAACCAACACAGGATACGGTATTGACAACGTTGGAATAGGCTATCGGTGTTATCCCCGGCCCCGAGGGTGGTGTCACTCTTCTCACCAAGAAGGCCGACAAGCACCACCAGCCCGCATCTGCCATCCAGACCACCACCTTCGGCCCCAGCAGGTCCACCCGCAAGTACGTCTTCTCCAAGCCGCGGCTCTCCTCGCTCGATCGTACCGATACCGCATATCAAAGGGCTGCTTGCTGACCAACGTAGGACATACTCCGCCATCGTCAACTCTACCACCAAGCGCAACTACCGCCCCGACCTCCGCCAGGACGCCGTTGCTAAGGCCTCCGCCATCCGCAAGAGCCAGAAGCCCGTCAAGGAGTCCAAGCCAGCCAAGGCCAGGGGTGCCAAGGCTCAGGCCGCTGCCACCGAGGCATAGATCATGAGATACTGAAGAGCGTGGTGCATGTGAATTGGTTCGGAGTTTTACTTCATTCGGTTCATCATCTTCTGTGGGATTCGGAGCTCATGAAAGAAAATGAGCATGGGTTGCATGAACGAATAAAGCTAGAGTCTTCACGACGAATCGACTCGGCGAGAAATGAATATGCTTCGAAAACCAAATGCTGGTGTGCACAATATCTTCGTGATGGCGTTATGGATGTTTTCCAAGTGTCATAAGATGTTGCATGTTCGTGATGCCAGATCGCTCAATCACAAAGCCCGCTGAGTGTACCTTCAACACAACATATAGTCGCATCTCTATGCCTGTGGAGACTAACCGTGACTTGTTGTATACATGGATAAACAAGGCATATCTCCAGTCAGACAGTATACGGAACGCAGGGTGTGAGATTACATACCTAGCTTTTCTAGGACGAACATGGTAATACCAGCTTGCACAAACCATGGTCTCGGGCCAGAGTATCGTATCCAAGTATACCAATTGGAAGAGAGTGTAGATAGATTCTAGATGATTGCAGCAGCTTATGTAAGCAGCCATGATCTAATCGCATGCCGTGTGCCGTAGCTAAAATAGCCCCGCCAGGGCTGGCTGGCCGCCCACCTTTGGGCATGCAGCACGCAGAACTTTGGCCTATTGACGCAGTAGTTTGACGCCGCAGCTCTCGCTGCGCTTTGCTTGCGGTATGCCTTATGAGTTTTATAATTTTGATCCTTCCCATCGAATCACCTACTCAGCCGTTTCGGTTGCTCAATCTTCAGTAGTATAGTGGTCAGTATTTCCGCTTGTCATCTTCACAGACAACTCGCGGGAGACCGGGGTTCAATTCCCCGCTGGAGAGCATCTCATGCATTCATTTTTTGTTTTTGCTTCGGGTGGGCCTTTGCAAGTTGGCCATGAAGGTCAATTCGGGGGGAAATTCGTGACGATGTTTTTTGCCCTGAGTAATGCATACTACCACACTTCATAAGCCTGCAATGGTGCCAGTAACTTCGCATGTGAGTAATAAGTCATAAGGAGAAACGTGATGTACAAAAGTCTACTCTATCTTGACAGAAATCTACTCCATCGCTGCCGTGGGCCGTCGTCGCTTTCTGCTCCTCTGTGTGGGTGGTGACGGATTAGCAACGACCGATTTGTCGAGCGCTTCTTGAATCTTCCTTGCAGACCACCCGTCATCGGTTGGCGTCCAGCTCCTCAGAAAGGAGGCAGAACCAGCGTGCCAGATGAGCTGTTTCACGGTGCCTGGCGGTGCAACTAGTAGTATTTGGCATCGTCCCTTTGACAACATGCGAATTCGCGTCGCTACACGCTTTACGAACGTACTCATGCACGGAAGTGCATAACCCGGTCCGCCATGGTATGTGGGACTAGAATTGCAGTCCATGATTATTGTCGTGAGATGTGTAATGGGATATTGCTGCAGCGCTTCCCGCCAACCATCAAGTTCCCTTGCAAGTTTCGGCTCCTCCTCTGTATACTCCAGCCAATTGCTCTCGGTACACTTGAACAGTTTCTGGTTCTCGGAGAACAGTTTCAACCTGATCTTCTTCGGCAATCTAGCTTGACTCTGTGGAGCTATTGCATCCTTGATCGTGTCTGTTGTTTGCTGGCTCTTGTAGTTTGTGAGCAAGCCCGATAATGCAGCATGCGTCTGGAACGTGACGCTTCGCTCTCGGAGTATTGTGGATATAGCTTCCTCACGAATCGCTTTGGAACAGCCGAGTAATGGGATTGGCACCGTTTCGGTAATCGCATGGTACACGATCGTGGTGTCGGTGAGTGCATATGACCAGATGGCCTCGCGCAGTTCCACTGCTAGGATCGAAAGCGTGCCGAGTGGACTCTGCCCTGACTCCATGTCTATTCTGGACGAATGGTGTTCGTAGAGGTTTCCTCAACGTTCAGGTGCTCAGGTGGGACTAGGTTCTTTGTTCGATTACGCCGTCACCGTGCAGTCGTTCACACCAACTCTTTCGGGAAAGTTCAAGTTTAAGCTCAACGCCGCAAGATGCTGTCCAAATCTACTCGTGTCGCGAAAGGGTTCTGTGTGGCTGAAGGGTGAAAAGCTGTTGAGGGGGAGAGCCGAGCAAGCGGAACGCTGCGGGCCGCGGGCGTGGACCAATCCAGCGATGGTCATGCACTAGCCGCTAGCGAATCGCCCGTCTTCACCTAGGCAGTCGCGATGTTCGCAATTGCATACACCCTTGACCCGAGATCTTCCCTTATCAGTATACATTGAGCCAGGCGATCGATCCGATCGCCTCTGCGATGGGAGTTTTTCGCGACGAATGCACACGCAGGGATGGGCCGGGTATCACAAAGCCCTTGTCTCACAGATCCATCAAACTGCCCAATTGCCGAGCGGCCTCGTTCATACACGTTGCCCGTACAGGGCCTCGCCTGGCCGGTCAAACGCGGCCGCATTCTCGCTGAAGCGCTACGCATGGCAGCATATTTTGACGAGCTGGCGCAGAGTATACCTTGCAGGCGGGCCGTTTGTCGCGTAGCGATTGGCTATACAATAGCCCTTCTCAGAACCGACTTCATCCTGATTAACGGTCTAGCTCCCAGCGGCAGCTAGTGGCTTACCGCATGTTTCTTAGGACTGCCGTCTGATCCACCGCTGCTCTCACTAGATTGCCAGTACAAGGCTGAGTGCTGCCTCAATTCCAGCTCTCCGTCTACCGGTTTGGCCACTGGTACGCGCTATAACCACTATACAGCAGCATGTCGTGGACTCCAGTGGACTTCAGCTGTGTCCGCTACTCTGCGGTAGAGGGCACACACTACTTTCATGACTCCGCCTTTCCTTCCTCGATACAGTTCTTGCTGTCCGGTCGCTGGGAGCCTTGGGACGTCAGCTACGTGAAGTAGTACGTCGCGCGTCTTCTCCAGATATCCCTCGTAGTGAGACTAACGTATCGAAGCAAGGCTCAAGATCCGGATGTCCGACGCGTTGCAGAAGAAGCAGAGTTGCGACTTATCCGGGATCCATACTCTGGATACATTCCATGGCCATCTCCGCCTCCCTCTGCCACAGGCCCTCCACCACTAGCTCCCATATACGGACAGGCTCCATCACAACCGATCGTCACCCATACTACAGCAGCAGGTCTCATGACACCTTCACCGTCAACGGTAGTTGAGGTTGCTCTCCCCGGCTCGCCACGCGATCATAGTACGCCTTCATCAGCAACGACAGCCACCGTGTATGCTTCCCCATACGCATTTCAAGCTGCTGCGCCAACTGGCGCTACGCAAATACCGTCAGAATCGACTCCCACTGTTCAAGCAGTTCCTGAAAACAACGCGCGCCCATCTTCGCAGTACATTGATCCCACCTTACGTGATCCGCCACCAAACCCAGCAGCACCTCTACCAGCCATCCTTTCGAGGACGAGAGAGACGAAGATTCTGCTTTCAATTGACGGTGACGGTATCCGGGGGTTGTCTGCTCTCCTCTTGGTTGAATCGCTGGTCAATGCGATCTGCGTCAAAGTTGGGCAGCGCTTAGACAGCCACCAGATCTTCGACTTGACGGGTGGTAGTTCTCTTGGCGGTATAATAGCCATCATGCTATGTCGACTGCGCATGCAAGCCCACAGAGCAAGAGAAGCCTACAAGCAGATCGCGAAACAAGTATTCGACAACAAAAGGGCCTACTTCAGATATCTCGACCCTCATGCACAGATACAGAAGCCTGACGACAGCGCGTTAGAGAACGAGATTAAGAGCGTTGTTCAGCAGGAGCTAGGCAGCCCGGACGAAGTACTCCTGGATGGACGGCCCGACTCGGGCGACGTGTGAGTAAAGCCTATTCATCCGCGACGTACATACTGACTCGATAAAGTTTCGCAATCACGACACAAATGGATATCGGTACGTACTGAAGTGAGAAGCGTGGTGAGATTCACTAACGAAGTGAAGGCACGAACAAAGCTGCCCTTATCCGATCATACCAAACACGCCGCATAACTGGACCGGACTTGGAACCCAACATGCCCATATGGCAAGCGATGAAGGCGACCTCGGCGGCCCCACGATACGTGCAATCCGAGCCAGGAGTTCCGCAACGGTTCGTAATCGAGAAAGGTCTCGTCGATCATGGAACTACAAAGAACAACCCAGTTCGCGACATCCTGTATGAATGCAGGAAGCTGTTCCGATATGCGAACGACATGATGATCATTGTCTCGGTCGGTACGGGCGTCGGCCTGAATCGCAAAAATGAGATTCCCGAAATGGCGAACAGCGTCGAGGATAGGAAGGCTGAAGCAAGATCGTGGGGTGATAGATTCGAGGTCGAACATGCTGCGTTGATGGAGCGCAACTGGATGAAATACTTTCGGTTTGATGTGACGGGTTTAGAGGATGTGCCACTGGAGGAGTGGAGTCACGAAGATCTGATTAAGGAGAAGACTTCGGAATATCTCGCCCAGCCAGAGGTTGGACAGAGGTTCTATGCGTGTGTTGATGCGATAACGGCGCTGCTACTGAGCCCGCAGGGGAGGTAGTAAGATATGGCAACGGTAAATATGGCACAGCTGGTGGACGACAGTCGGTCGCAAAAGTGCTCTTAATAGTAATCTGATCCCCATCAGGTATATGTCGGGTTTTGCCCAATCTATGCCGCGGGTTACCACTCTCTGGTCGGCGTTGCCAGGTCGCGTGCGCCTAGCGCGCCTGCCGTCTACCCGTGGGCCCGTCCAACACGTGTCGACGTCCTTTCACACCCATCTCCTGGACGACCGCTTGGGTGCATGACATCACGCGAACCGGCGTCAAACTCCGCGCCAGGCACTCTGCATATATCGACTGTATGAGCAGGATCCGACTTCCTGGTCGACGCCGCGTAACCGCAGCGTATAGAACGCCTATGACGCCATGCCTCATCCTTTCTCTTGGCCCAACACCCGCATCGACCAAACATGGGAAACATCACGCACATCGCATTCCCCATCATCGGTCGATGCACCCTTATTTACCCCGCGATCAGTTGATTACTCTTGGCTGCCACGGCTGTGTATGCCTTGGCTTAGAATGACAAGCCTCACATTGGCGGAGTAAGCTTACCGAAGATGTACCCAGCCGCCTCTTGACATCAGAGGCACGGAGTAACGGGCAGCCTGATGTCGCGTGGAGTGTGCGAAGGGCGAAGAGGCGTATGCACTGCGGGCGAGATGGTGTGAAGTATATCTCGTACACTTCTTCGTTTTCCGCCTTTCACACCCCTTTCTCTCATCTCTCCTCCTACGTGCGTGCGGACTTCGATATGGCTACCGTAGACGATGGCAGGCCGACAGCTGTGCCTGACACCGAGCGCGACCCCAACTATGGCGAAGGCACAGAACTAGAGCAAGAGAAGACGGACCGAATCATTACAGGCGACAAGGTCGAGCTACAAGACAGTGATGCTTGGGACAAGCTTGGTTACTCCTTCCCAACTTGGCGCAAATGGTGAGTTGAGCTTGTGTCTCTTGTCTGGATGCCGCTTTGCCGTGAGAGCCGACCATTGTGGCGGCGCATCTCGAGAACCTACCATGGGCTTACAACCTCCTCCCGATCGCTTTTTGTCCGTGTTGCAATGTTTAATGTACGGCGCTGACAATGATTCCACGATAGGCAGATTCTCATCGTCGTCTTCTTCATCCAAATCAGCATCAACACGAATGCGTCAATGTACTCGCATGCCGTCAGCGCCGTATCCGAACACCATGGTGTAAGCGAACAAGCAGCTCGCGTCCCACAGGCAGCGTTCTTGATCGCCTACGGTATCGGCTGCGAACTTTGGGCTCCTTGGTCTGAAGAGTATGGACGATGGCCCATCCAGCAACTCAGTCTGTTCCTTGTCAACCTTTGGCAAATACCAGCTGCTTTGTCGAAGAACTATGCGACATATGTGGTGGTCCGGACGCTCGGAGGTTTATCAACGGCTGGAGGCTCGGTCACACTAGGTGTGCTGGCCGATATGTGGGAGCCGGATGAACAAGAGTTTGCTGTCGCTTTCCTAGTGCTGTCATCTGTGGGCGGATCCGTTGTTGGTGCGATCATCGGGGCGTTCGTAGAGAGGTAAGTGTATCATTGACAAGTTCTGTCGGCATTTATTGACTTAGCTCTCCAGGTACAAGTCGGTCGAGTGGATATTCTGGGTCCAGCTCATCATCGGAGGCTTCGTCCAGCTCGTTCACTTTGTCTGCAACCCCGAAACTCGCTCGACAATCCTATTGGACCGTGAGGCGAAGAGACGGCGCAAGACAGGTGAAGATCCCAACATCTATGGACCAAATGAGATCCGAGGTGGCCATAATATCAGCCTCAAAGAGGTCGGCACTATCTTCTGGAGGTATGTAACTGCTTCAGGCTATGGCGGCTTTGATGCTAACGACGACATAGACCATTCTACATGTTCTTCACCGAACCAATCGTTCTATGGCTTTCCCTCCTCAGTGGTTTCAGCGACGCCTTGATCTTCACATTCTTGGAGTCTTTCGGTCCCGTCTACGAACAATGGGGCTTTGGCGTCGTTGGCGCTGGTCTAGCCTTCCTACCCATCTTGCTCAGCTACTTCCTGGCTTACGCTTCGTACATGCCGTCGATCATCAGTTTCCGGAAGAAACGACGACAGAATCCAGGATCAGTCGAACCTGAGGCCCGACTTTGGTGGTTGCTATTTCTCGCTCCGCTGGAGACTATAGGCTTGTTTGGGTTTGCTTGGACGTCACTTGGCCCAGACTATGGTATTCCTTGGATCGCGCCTATGATCTTCTCGGCAATGGTTGGCATGGCGAATGTAAGTTTCTGGGCTTGTCATGGAGCATACATGGGCTAACACTTTCCAGTATGCAATCTACCAGTCTTCAATCGACTACCAAACCGCCGCATACGGCCCCTACGCATCCTCAGCAACCGGTGGCAACGATCTCGCTCGTGATGCCCTAGCTGGTATCGCTTCTCTATACTCCACACCGCTTTACTCAAACATTCCTGGTCGACCATTGCAATACGCTTCCACTATTCTAGCCTGCCTTGCTTTCCTGGTCACCCTTCCCATCTACATCGTGTACTGGAAAGGTCCGCAAATCAGGGCCAATTCGAAGTTTGCGCAGAGTCTCGATCAAAGTCGGCAGCAGAGAGATGAGAAGAGGAGGAAGAGTGTTCATCCAGGTGTAGAGGGGCCGCTGGGGGAGAAGGAGCAGAAGGTTCATCGAGAGAATGCATAGGTTTGGAAAATGGAGAAGAGCGGAGTCTTTTGAAGCAAGTGGTTCGGCTCTTACTCTTGCTCTTTGCGATATGCAATTAATATCTGGTCGTGGTGTACATGATCAAATAATCAACTCGTTGTAGAAAGAAAAGCCGCTATCGCCTTCATTGCTCAGGCCCAATTCGAAACGAAAGGTGTCGCCTGTTCGATACGTCGGTCGTCGAACACCGTCGTGCTGGTCGTAGTCGTCATTCGTTTGAACTGCTCTAGCCCAATCCAGCTCGGCACCCTAGCCCAAACAACGACGTCTTCCTCAAGGCCGATCTCAAAAATGATCATTAGAAGACTTGGTTTCGCATTTGCAAGGGTGTCAAGAGCAATACCCAATCCTTCCATCTCCATCGGTGTCTCGTGAAAGGGTTGGTTTCCAGTCCACGACATGCTTAGCTCGACGAGGTTCGGTGCCCAGTCTGGATGTTCGGCGAGGGCCCACAGTGGGAGCGGATCATTATCGAAATGACTTCCGGACATTTGGACGTGTTCGAGTAACGGGCACGAAGACAATAGTGCGAGGAGAAGGTTGCGACTACGGAAATTCCCCAGCTGAACAGTCTGTAGGCCTGGACAATGATGAACAACATGGATCATGTTTCCCTCTCTGTAAATCCCCGACTCGCCCAATCCTGTCATCGTTAGCTATTTGATTAGAGACATATTTGACTGAACTAGCAAGATAGTGAACCTTCGTGCAAGATTGAATAAAGTGTACATACTGATCGATTGAAGGTGTTTAACTTTTGGGCTCATGTCGATAGAGAGTAAAGATTGGTCGTCCATCCTGTTGCGCATCAGCGAGGTCTGTACAGAGAAAAGTATGAGTTCAAAAGCGTACTCCGTCACATCCAACAGGCATTCTGTCATGGGGCATTGATCCAAGTCCACCTCACTCCAAGACAACTGGCAGTTCGGTCCCATAGCTGTAGCATCCAGAATGGGAAGATCAGCTGGCTTGCGGATCCTGGATGAATCCATCGAAAATTCGACAACGCATTGGCGTCTGCATGAACATTCGCTGGAGTTTTCCTCGCTTTCTGAATCATCGCTATTGCGATCAGAGCTGGGTGCGACACCATGATTTTCTTCTGTTACAATGGATGGTGTTGGCGGGGTCGCAGGAGGAGTGGGTTGTGGACGACATTTCTGTATCGACCGCAGTGGTGTCTTCGCACGGCGAATTCGCTTGTTCCGTAGTGATAGTTTTGTTCGTGTAGCTGTCACGACTTTTGCTGCGGCTGCTAATGCTTCATCTCGTGAAACCACGCTGAAGCCCAGGCTGGCAAAGGTACCTTCTGGTGTGATGTTCGCATTTTGCGTAATAGTTGGTGGCATCTCTGCGGATATGGTCGAAACTTTGAAGGAGAAAACAGAGATTGAAAAGTCAACAACAAAAGAATGATGTTCAGATGACCCAGATTTTATAGCGGGTACCTGTAGGCGGGTCTCTGCCGTACCTTACATTGGAGCATTGCTTTTTCCCACGGCTGAAACTCAACCCAGCTGTACCAAACCCCCGATATCTCGACAGCAGTTGCGATTGGTCGCTTTAGTGTATACAAACAGGTTTAAGCTATGCGGCAGGCACATGGCGAACGCCCTCTTCTGATGCTTGTAAGCCACCAATCTTTCCTGTGGGTTTGTTGTTGGCCAGCGCGGCGCTGTAAACTTGACAGTTCGTGACATCCGGCTAGTTATTTACCAATAAGCCCAGGATAAAGATAGAGATAATGGACGGCGGGTACGTCGACGAAAGCAGTCGTAACAATCGATATTGGGACGGGAAGGGATGAAATCCATTTCAAGAGAGAAAGCTTGAGAAGCGATATGTCTACGAGAAGCACTGTAGAACCGAGTATTTGCGGCGTCTCGGATTGCTAGCCGAGCACAAGACGCTGTCCAGCCAACGCAAGATATAGATTAATGGGGAAAGTACTAGTGGCTTGGCCTGCCTCAACGTAGCTCAAGTAATAGTAGGGAGACTAGAAGAGATCTTTCTCCCGTTCTTGTACGTATCGTGACTGGTCTGCAGATACCACGTATCCCACTTCTTGAATTCTGAACGGGTAACCAGCTCGATAGGTAGTGTCGGTCGCGTCCTTCCAAACTCTCGCAACGCACGCATGGGTTTTCTATTGTAAGAGAGGTCGTTGAGGCGTAGTTTCTTCAAGTTCGGCGCCCAATCTGGGTGAGCAATCCATTGCTCGAAAGTGACTTCTGTAACGCCAGAACCAGAGAACTCCAGATGGGTAAGGTTCTGACAGAACGAAATCAGATGGATCAAGCCTTGATCACCAAGTTCAGAACTCCTAGACCCGGGTAGAGAGATCTTCTTTAGGTTTCTGCAAGCCTTAGCAAGAAGCTTGATACTCTCGTCCGTCACAAGACATTCTAGCGTCATAGTCAGAAATACGTCTACAAATAATTGCATAGTCAGATTCGTACCGTTATTAGCGTTGTAGTCAACATCCACGTAGGTGAGATGGATTTCCGTTAGTGTGTCGCAGACTTTAGGACCCAGGAAGAGGATGTCTTCGATGTGTTTGCTAGGAAACGCGGTTTAGTATTGCACGGTATGCCCAGTAGAGAGGAAGTAAAGTATGATGCTTACTCTGTCAGCTCAAAGGCGCTTCCAAAAGTGATCTTCCGTGTCGATGTCCCAATAATCTTATGGTACTTGTCGTCCCAGTCGCATCTGGAGTCTTGGAAGGAGGCTTGTTTTACTCCTTTAACGAGAGGCTTAGGAAGACGAGGTTTTGGTTTCGGCGCTTCTTGCGCTGCTAGGTCTGCAGCGGATCGTGATACAACTGGAGGCTTTGCCCGGGCCGCTGCGGCTACGACCTCCTCTTTCGGGGCAGGTCTGAAGCCGAAGGCTGCGAGACCGCCGGAAGGAGTAGCCTTTGCTGAACCTTTCTTCTTCTCTGTGCGAATTGGTGGCATAAGGAGCGTTTGTGTGTAGTGGCGAAAGGTGATAGAGAGTGTGCAAGGAGATGAGACCCTGTGTAGACAAGATGCACGGGCCCTGGACACGCTGCCTAGGGATCACGCCAGACGCGCCAGCAAATCGGCGCTATCAGATACAAAGTAGCTGACCCCAGGTTGGGCCCAAAGTATCCGCGATCGGATCATCGTGAGACGACATCGCGAACACACGAACGATAGACGCGTCTTCATACAATGAGAAGGCTGCCATGGCTTGTTGCAGCGAAAAGAAATGGCATCTGCACGCGTAGTTTTCGGAGCTTCAAATCACAGGTGGAAGCCATCGTTGTCAATCCGCATTGCAGCTGATGAACGGTGTCGAGATCCGCATGTTCAGGGAAGAGGTGATCGAACGTTCGACGATGCGCCAGCCAATGTCATCGCGGCAGGGTGGCGAAGCACGCTAGTCGCCAGCCACCCTCACGGAAACCTACCTTCACACCTCCTGCAACCACGCATCACAAGCTTCATCTCAGCAACACGGCCATTGAGCAGATTTTCTATAGCTATGCTACGGTTTAGATCGATTACACGCTCTAACACCCTGCAAATAGCCCTGCAACCTATGTCCCGGCTGCCGCCATGCCACTCTCGACGGATCGTCATCTCGTGGCTTCCTCAGCCGGAAGTATCGGAACTGTAGGACAAGACGCGGGAGATCGCAGCTTTCGATAGTAGCTCGTCTACAAAAGAGTAGGACCTTCTAAGAGCTGAAGCATACTCGCAACCTCCTGCTGATGTTGCTGTTCGCGTCTCGCCCTCTTCGCCCCTCTCTTAGCTTCGGGTCGCTTCCTCAGCAGCTCTTTGTACTCCTCTTCGGCAAGGTCCCAATCTACCTCCAGAGCAGGGTATGCCTGAACATGGTGCTTGAACCCTTCTACCTCCTCCTCATCCCAGAGCTTCTGATGAACGTGCCGCAGGATACACGCTACGACTAGTTCCTTCAGGTTTTCGTCCCCGAGCGTATCGTTCGTTTCTTCAGATGTATCATGTAGCCTCTGAGCTGAGCCGTATATCCAGCTTACGAGGCTTTTCGCAATTCCCACGTCGACGGTGCTCTTCCACAACATGTCCTCTGCCATCTTGCTATGCGCGACGGCTACCAAGGAATCATATCGGAGGTCTTTGCCCATTTTGTACATCTCCAGATGAAATTCCGCCGCAGCCTCTAGTTTCATGGGATAGCTCGCCTTGGTCTTGCCGATGGGTAGCTTTGTCGCATGGTGTAGCATCGTCGCTCGTCCGCCCTTATCCAGTTTGTAGGTTCCAGTGTATATGAATTCGACGAGGCGGTCGACCATCGTGGGACTGTGTACTTGTGCGTTGAACTCGCACTCCCTATTAAGAGTATTAAGTGTACGCTAAAAGCCGTGAGTACTAGTTCTGTCCATTTGCACTAGCCTTGTACTTACACCGCTAGGAAAAGCATATCCTTCTAGCACTTCCGAGCCTGCAATAAGGAAGCCCGAGTTCACGTCGAACGCAACTTCATCTACGACGAGTGTGAAGTCACAACCGAGTCGCTTGCTAAGGGCCATTTGGCCACGACTGCGATGTATCAGCGCACGTAGGAGTGAAATACGACCAATACTCACTGAGCACAGACTAGTTGCGGCTGTGGTAGTCTGACACTCTTGCCCTCGAAGATATGGCCCAGGAGGGTCTCCAGAGTCGCCAACGATATCGTAACTGCGTTTGTATGGGCGCGAGCTCCGTCGTCTGTTAAGTCAACCTCCATGCTTCATAAAGGGTGTCGAGTAACTCACCTGTTCGTACAGCTTCTTCACCGTCACGTTCGTCCGGGTTGTGTGTCGCAGCACGAGCTACATGTCTGACGGACGGTGTTGGGCTTGTCATAGGCGGATGCGCTTCTTGAGCACGCGGCTCTGTCTCCGAACTCCCCTGGTCCGCACTATTGTCGCGTTTGACAGCCTCGCGACTCTCGTGCTCTGGCTGTGCATTCAAGCCTGAAGGTGCAATGGGTGTCGATGCATCATCGACTAGTGTTGTCGCAGGATCCAGTCCCGAGCTCTCGCCTTTGCTGTCTGGTTTCGGAGATTGATTCGTCATAGCCACGATTGAGTGCTGTCTTTGAGGGATAGTATTGAGGTCTTGGTGTGTGAGCCCTAGTAGAAGGAAATCAAAGCAGCGTTAGCAACGGGTGGGCAAGCCCCACTTTAGCAGGCCGCAAAGGACTCACGTTTGCCCTTTCACTCTCACCAGAAGGTAAAACAAAAGCAAAAAAAGAATGATCGAGCACAGAACCGAACTCTCGGCTTTGGTGTGGACACAAAAAATACTTACATTGACCCAATCACCACTATGGCATAGCGTAGTCAAGGACACACGTATACTTCTACCACTTGGGGGTCCATCTCATGGGAGAAGCTAATTCAGAGTAGAGGGGTTGGAATATCTCTGAATTGATAGCTATATATACATGCTAACAAAATCTCAGGCATAGACATTGTCGCTCACGCACTGCAAACGCGTCACGCATTGCGAACGCACAAACAGTGAAAGACCCAAACCACTCACAACTCCACAAACTCCACCCCCGCTTAATAAGTCTACGCAGGTGACCGCCCTCCTACTAGCGCTAGTCTCGGCGCTCGTTGCCTTTCCACTCTGCCACTTCACTTCCTGCCGCCTCCGCGTCCAAACGACCCAGCATCTACGCATCTTCGGTAGGCTCAAGAACCGACATGGACAACCAAGAAATCAGTCAGAGCGACAGCGGACGTGTCGCAGAGCCTCAGCGCGTCGAGCCTCGGGCAATGGCGTTGACAAACAGCGATCCCGGCGCGGACATGGAGTTGGTGGCTATCCGTTTCGGACACCTGCCGGCTTCGAAGGCCTCCCCGATGCCTCATGAGTGTCGCGACATGTACTGTCAAACGTATGTCATCTGCACGAGTATATCACTGACAAAGGCAGGTGGCGCCGCGAGTTTGTGACGAGCCCGCTTAGTACCGTAACACTTGTTGCCAAGCTGGGGAGTGAGACCGCTACTTGTACTCTACCTACGGAATCAGCCGGAGTCCTTTCGAAGAAGTTCAGGATAGAGGTAAGTTCCAGGTTCGCGCTGCCTTGGGAGCCTAGACTGACTATTCATCAGATCCAAGATCCACAAAACACCGACTCCGTTGTCACTATCCATGACCACAAGTTCATCGTCGTTGATCTGATGGTTCAACACATCCTCTACGGCGAATACTATCTCGACAAAGCCCAGCAGCTAGGCGAGTACAGGTTGACATACATGAAGAAAGCTGGCCCTGGGATCGAAGACGACAACCTCACGGTGCAGATAGACGAGACGCCAACAGAACTTCACCTCCAGATGTATCATTGCGCGAAGAAGATGGAGATTCCGGGACTCCTATTTGAGGCTACTAGAAACTTCAAGACCTCTCTCCTCAAGGATCCACCGACGGCCGACCAGTTCGTCAACATGATGGAGAAATACAAGCTGTTCGACCCGTCCGAGAACACCAGCAAAGACCTCCTCCACGCTATCGCGACTTGTGGAGCAATGCAGCGTTCTGTGTGGCTCCAAGAAGGTGGTACGAAGTATTTTGAGTTCCTCGGAACATCTGGCTATGCGAAATACGAGGGGGCGGCCGAGCGAGACCTGGACAAGTACAAGCTCGAAAATAACATCCCAGAGCGCATGGTCAGCATCGGCGCCACCGACCAACAGCTATCGAGCAAGAAGCGACTGTCGACTGATCCTTCGCTGGATGCGCGAACCCCCAAGATGCGTACTGTCGGTACGGGACAAGGACAGCGTGAAAACATCGGCGGTCGCGTTCTCCAGCGTCCGGGTTCGAGCAATACCTACCAACCTACTGTCGAGGACCATCCCAATTCGCCTACCCCCCGTCGTCGTGATCATGGAAGCTCGGCCAAACGTACCAACAACAAAGCACTGCCGCCTACACCCACACCATCTGAGCTGGACAGGTCTTGGCAGTCTATGGACAGATCCAAGGCGTCTCAAGGTGAGAAGGCAGCCTCGACCCCCATGAAGCCGGCATCAGGTCTCCTGCGTACCCCTCGTCCAGGCTCGAGCCTTCGACAGAGCCAGGCGTTCCACGGTGAGGCCGATGGCTCTGATGATATCGATGGACCGAGTCTCTACGATGACTTCAACCCTCCATACGCATCTCACAGTCCACAAGGTCCTAGTCCCGTTGCTCCGCGAACTGTGCGCAAGCAAGGAGGTGATCAGCCGACTACGGACCAGACCAAAGTCGACCGTCAAGATACTACTGAGTACGCTCTCCCCAAGAACAACATCTCCGCCGATGAGAATGCCGATGAGTCTACCTTCATTCCCCTCATCAGTTCATCTGACCACGGCATGGACGACAACACCGAGGTCCCACGTATCGAATACAGCTTCGACGAGGGCAAAACCCTCACTCAGGTTCCCCATGTTCCCGTCCTCGCCCCCGCTGTCCCTACCCGTAGCACATCAGATGAGACTGGTGGTCAGAAGAAGAAGGAAGATACCAGCATGACTGACGTGTCTGGGGATGGAGACGATGGCGTCAAGGTCGACGATGGCGTCAAGGCCGAGGATCGCATGGAGGAATAGGGGGCATGGCAGCGACAAGGACGTTTGTAGGCGATGGAGTCTCAGCCCACGGGTCTATGTAGTCTTTTGTAGTCAATACGTGCTTAGGTGAAAGATGAATACAATGAGGATGTATACCTCAAAGCCCGTTATACCTCTTGTTTTGTGACTGTGCTTCTAGCTGAGTTACTCCTGGCGTAGGCGTCCATGGGCGGTGCCTCAGATGGTAAGCATGCGTATACCTAAAATGAAACTCCTCAACTAACATCGTTACGAGACATGCTTAGAAGATTTCAAGGCGCTTGGGCTGCCATCCCATGTACTATGAAGGGTTAGATCGCCAAAGTGAATATGCAGCAGCCCGTCAAGTACGTCATTTCAGTCTACGACCTTCGCCGCCTTTCCCTACTTCTCTCCTGACGTCAAGCAAACAGCAATCTGGCGCTAGCTAGGCAGGCAAAACACCATCATAATCCTTTCCGGTGAGTGCTCCAGTTTCCCCGTCTCTTAGCCGCTCCAATATTTACCTTCGGTAACTGACCTCACCCGCACCAGACGCTTCAAGCAACGAGCATTGAGAAGTACCGTGTACAATGTCTAGTGCAACCGCCAAGCAGAAAGCGACCGCCAGCGATGACAAGCTCACTCCACGTCAAGTCCTAGCCGATGTGGCCTATCTGCACCATATATTCGGGGATCTGTCGGTTGGAGAAATGGACATTGACGACGTCGCTATCTACAAGAAGTAAGAAAAGTCCGGATGCTCATGCTTGTGCCTGTTACTGACCTGTCCATAGGGAACGCGAACATCTACGCCTTAAACTTCATTGCGGCCTGTCTCTCCCTACCAACAACGATTCGGTGTCTTTTGCAGTACCCGACGCGCTGGCAGCAGCAGCATCTAGCTGGATCGAAGCCAATGTGAGTTTTGGAGTAGATTTCGCAATTATGTTGCCTTCCAAACATCTGACTGACTGGCCTTAAGCTCAAGACCCCTCAGGAAGCACCTACCAAGAAGTACAGCCCCATAGTCGTCAGGATGGTGACTGATTCCATCTACAACCCAATGTACAACCTCCCCGACAAACTCCCCAACGGCAAAACGGCAATCGAAGTTCATGTGCCAGTATTCCTCTGTGCAGTCGAAATGAGCATGGAGGCCCTCGAACTCTTCGCTCTCAAGTTCATAAAGGCCACTCTAGCTAAGGACGGGCTCACACCTGAGCAGCTGAGGAATCTGGTACAAGACTATGGGCTGTTCAAAGCAGGGCTCTGCCAGAAAGCGGTGACAGTACTTCCGTACCACAAGGTCATGTGCACTTTCGCCACTCATATTGTTGCGCACGAAGAAGACTTCGACGGAACCGATGTGTACGGTGATCTGTCGCTTACTACCAAAGGATGTCTGGGGTATTACACCAACCTTGTGAAGAAGGACGTAAAGACAACCATTCGTGCAATCAAGAAGGATAAGGCTTCAATGGATATCCGCAACGACAACGAGTCTGTTCAGACATAGTGCGTTAGCTCGCGGGTGTTCGTGGTCTCTTGCGATACGGCAGTTCACATGCGCCGACACCGACGATGAGACTGTCATCGTAAACCCACATCATTTTCCTTTGTTTCATGACTTTGCTTCTAGCGGAGGCCTTCCAGGCATAGGTGTTTATAGGTAGTCTATTTCGCGATGATACCCGGAAGGATAGCAGGAGTATGGTGTTCATGGTAGTATTACACACCTAATGAAACTTCTTGAAAACCGTCACGCGTCTCATCGTGATGCCAATCGTCCTATTTCACGGTATCTATATGCTACCAGCATAGCCGTATCGTCATCCATCTTGCTTGCAGAGACCCTGAGCCACTCCCTGCTCACCACATATACCTCACGTTCTCGGGTCTAAACTTCAATGTAGGCTGCACAACAGCTTCCATTACTCCTGTTCTAACATCGCGACACAACTCCTCAGCAACGCCATCAACCGTAGCTGTATGCTCCGCCCTGCAGGTGTATCCGCATGTTTACCAGCACCCCAGCCAAATGGCAACACTAATCTCCTTCTGCCCTTCTTATCCAGCACGACGAGTGCATCTAACGGGAACTTGCCTCCACCGAGGGGATGTAGAAGCCCCAGGCGCACGAAGTGGTTGTTCGAGGGAGTCGCGGCTTGTATCAAGGGGAGCGAGAAGGGCGCGGAGGATGGAAGTCTATGTGTCGAGGGGTCGTGGCATAGGACGAAGGGCTGTAGAGAGGGCGAGAGCGCGTAAAGATCTGGGAGAGCGGAGCTGTTCGATGTTAGTGGTAGTTTGAAATGGTTCAGTATGATCTTACCAAAGCAGGTCGTAATGAACCTGAACATTCCCTTGCACACATAACACTATTATCGAATCCTGCTTCTTATACCTTGCCCAGTTATTATGCGCTTCCAGCATACTGCCTACAGGAGTCGCGAGCGTACTGCTAGCCAATATCGCATCCACATCCACGCTCCATGCCTCCTCCGGACTTATAACATCTAGCTCTTCCAGCTCGCACTGTGTCTTCGACCTCTTGAGCGCATCGCCCAATGGCGGCAGAGCAGGCGACGGCTCCCTCCTCCGCTGGACCTCGTCCTCGTCCTCGTCAATAGTCAGGCGCGAGCGTTTGCGGCTAAGAGCCACATCCATGGTCCAGCTGTTGTGCGTAAGTAAGTCACCCATCTACGGCGTCACGTCATACATGCGTTGTGGGTGGTGAAGAAAGACACGACCAGCGCCCATCTTCCTACGACAGTCGGTCTGGGGTTGTCGCAGAGACAGACGCACGCACGAGCGAAAAGACCCAGGGTTTCCTGCACGTCAGGCCCAAGCTCCCCCTGCATACCCCGCCATCAACGCGCCTTCCGCCTTGCCTGCGCTGCAGCGACCTACCCCACTATCCATCAGCTCAGCTGCGCCTAGGCTACCAGAACGGCGGCTGGCGAACCTGCGACTTGGATGCTTTGCGCCCATGGCTGAGAGAGACGTTGCGAGTAGACTGCGCCAGAGCACTTGGAATGGGAGTATCCCGCTCGAGATACGCCTGCACAAGGGCGACTGTAGGACGTACGACGAGTCGGATCCCTACTTAGTACGTGCAGTGTCGACATAGTCCGGTGGTGATGATAAATCGGATGAGCTATGGCTGACGAGAGGTAGATACAATTTCCACGCATATCGTATCTCGGGCTGCTCATACACAAACTGCATGCCTTCTTCGCACGCAGCCTCATCTACCCGGATGTCACGCCCAAAGACGCATGGTTATCCTACGAAGACGTGCCGCTGAAATGGCATTATCCACTGGGTCTCCTCTACGACCTCTACTCTGGCGCTGAGCCGGCGTATCCCTCAGACACGGATACAGAGGCTGAGCAAGCGCACAAGATCGAGAGTACAGAGGAAGAGCGTCAACATTTACCATGGCGACTCACAGTACACTTCTCCGACTTCCCGTCCGAGCAGCTTGTTCAGCTTGATAATGACGACAAGCACATGCACGATCTGTTCATCCACAGCGTGAAGGAGGCCGACTACCTCAGGACAGGAACAGGAAAGACAGTCATGTTTCTAAGCAAAGAAGACAGCACGCAGCTCTGGAGCGGAGTGAAGAACCACGACTTTGCGGTGTACAACCCCATCAACCAGAAGCTGCTGAACCCGCAAGGAGTCAACCTGAGACATCTACCAGTGCGGCTCTATCTCCCACACGCGTCGTCGGAAGGGGTGCAAGAAGAGACGGCACCCGGGAGTTTGAGAGTAGTGCAGAGACTGGTGACGCCGAACCTGTCGTCTAGTACGTGTAATTGCGGTGTAGGTGTGGAAGGCGCTGACGGCAGACAGGGCAACCACAGACCATCGGGACAGCACTGAACACCATATTGCCGACACTATTTCCGAGCAGACGCAGTCCGCTGCTTGCGCAGGCCGTGTTGCACGGAGCGGTGCTGCCGCTGAGCGCGAGTGTGGAGGAGCTGGTGCGCGCGACGGCATATCTCGATGGCTGGCTGCACATTGCGGTGGTTATGATGGGCTGAATAAGGATTTATGCCAACAGCGACGGCGGTCACATGGGAGCCGAGTCATGTGGCGACGCTATTCCACGATCCCGGATAGCAGCAATATTGGCAGTACGGGCAGCGTCGCGATAGCGGACGCGGCAACACAACTCAGACGTTCCAAGGCGCGCGTGCAGCTCGCGACACTTGCTTCTGCTGATGGTGCCTGTGACACGGTGATGCTCTGCAGCGTTTCAAAGGCCGTGTAGGGCTCGTGTGCCATGCTTCGCCAAGATGCGGGGGCACAGGCACAGCAGAAGCTTAGTGAGGATCCCGGCACTGAGCTACCAAGGCCACCCCACGCGTCTCCAGTCTGCCTGGGCGCTATCGGCGTAGCGCGTCGCCCTGTCGACGCGAAGCCAGCGTCTGGAAATGAGGCATTATTGACGTGCGTTGTTTTTGGCTCCGGTGCGCTAGGCCTGCTGTTGCCCGGTTGATGCTGCCCACGGTTCGGCTGGTGTCAAACGGCCCTGGCGAGATATCCGAGGGTGCAGGTGGGTTCGCGCCGCCTTCATCAGTCATGGACGATAAGCAATGGGCGATGACATCGATGCTGCTTCTGCCGCACAAGAACGGTTTAGAGGTGGCAGGGGTGCTGGCTGAGTGGAGCCGACGAGTAGCGTCAGCGGCTTGCAGCGCCAGACGCACCTGGGCAACTGTGTGGAGGCGCGAGCGAGAGGTTCATGGGGAGTGCTGCGAGTGCTACGGTGGATGGCTTGGTATCAACGACCGGTGAAGCTCTAAAGCGGCTCTTCTCGTGACAGGCAACTAGCAGATAGTGACTACACATCCGAACGTGAGTATCTCCGACGTGAGGCTGCGATCGTCGGCTCATCTACGACGAAATGATGGCATGTCGCGCCATTGGCTGCACTGGGTAGCTCCCTCCTAGCTCCCTCAACCCTCGCGGGTGGTTGCTAGGCCCGACCCAACCTTCATCTACTCTTCACGCTGCTCCGCCCCGAATCTCCAACATCCCCCAGCGCCCACTATCCATTACCCACTCGGACGAGCCTCACACGTAAGTTCCGCTCTCTCATTCCAGCCCGCGCCCATTCCCCGGCCGAAGCGACGCTGCACCCACCCTTGCAAGCTTGGAGCCTCCCGGACAACCCGCTAGGACCCGGGGCCAAACAAAATGCCTCATCAACTGTGCAGAAATTTTCGGCGAGCCGGCGCATTTAAAAGCGGACATTCACCCTCTTGCTATTAAGAGCTTTCTCGTTCTCACTCTTTGATGCTGCATCGCTGTCGACCTGCGCCTTTCAATTAAACATCGCCGAGTCCCTCTGCCTAGCGACCGTTTCCGTGGGTTTGATCCGATCGCGCTGACCAGCTTCCGTTGCCATCAACAGCCAAAACAAAGCTTCCCTCAGCTCGATATTCAAACAGTGGACCGATTCAATTCGTAAATGTAAGCTCAATGCCGCCTTGTCCTGGAGCTGCCGGGGAGAGTTCGTGTCACGTCGTTGCATCCCGTCGCGTCGTGTCGCATCGCATCGCATCACCGCCATCGGGACCAGTCTCGCGACAAGCCTTGGCCGAAGATCGTTACGCTCGAGACCGCTCTTGGGAGTGAATCGCACGCGCCCAATGCGTCTGGCCTGTGCTTCTCCAGCTCCGGGAATCCTTCCAGGTCTTTTACAGCTGCTCAACCGAACACTCTTTCTAACATCTCCACCCCAGAAACCCACAAACAAACACAATGGCCGCCATCAGCATGCCCATCGCCGCTCGCGCCGAGTACGCTCTCCACCAGCTCGCCAAGCGCGACAAGAACTGGGCTCAGCGTGAGCCCGGTGTCATTGTCGTCTTCGTCATTGTTTTCCTCGTCGCCATCCTCGTCATTGCCATGTTCATCAACAAGAAGGTACGTTCTCCCAACCACCCCAACCACCCAATTCTTTCCCCATACAGCCTCCTAACACCCACCACAGAGGCAAGCTGGCAAAGGCATGGCATAAGATACCCCCTTTGATTCGAAGTTGGAGCGAAGCCGAGCAGTACGATTTCAAGGCGGACAAGACATGACCCCCGATACGAAAGTCATAAGAGCTGTTATGTGGACTGGGCAAAGAGCTTGTGTATAATGTGTTTGAATATTCGCGTATAGGATAACACGGGCTGACCCTGCTGGGGAGGCACTGTGGTGCGAATGCCTCTTTGAGAGGGCTTCGTGGTAATAATGAACAAGTCAAATACCCATTGAGCAGTCGTCGCCTCGAACGTGTGAATTGGATGCAATGCTAACATTGAACATGGCTCAGTGAAGCTTCATTAAGAGAGCGGATGGCGCGTCTACCAACCAACAGAGCATTCACCAAAACACAATCCGCGTCACTTTCTATTCGAAGACATCTGGGTCAATCATCATGCTTCGACGACGCCGGCCGTTGACAATTGCCTCGTCCCCGTCATCCCTCTTCTAGCTCGCCTCGCTAAAGCATCTGCGAACCCAAGTTCAGTCTTGCTGCATGCTTTACTGCAGAACAGGCTAGCACACACCGGACCCAATCGCTTGCTTCTTCCTTCTTCCGATCCATTCTCGTCTGTATTGGGGTATAGTCTCCGAAGCGGTATTTGACTGTATAGGAAAGTTTCTGTCTTGATTTCTATGGCTATGCAGTCTGGTGCTGCGTCGGTCGTGGAAGGATATGTTACACTGCAGCTAGCAATGGATGTTGATAGGTGGTGTGCATTCTGTTCTGAGAGTGTGCATTAGGTAGTAGTGGGTTGCCAGGTTCTTCTGAAGTGTTCGTCCCGGTCCCTTAATACAGTAGCGACGGTTGCCATTCCAATGAATCTGTGAGAAGCCGTTGCGACGTTTCTTCGATATGATACCCGCATTGCTAGTCTATATTCCGGGTTCAGTGTTCCTGATGCCAACGGTCTCTTGTTCACACCATTCCAAACCACTCATCTTTCGATGGATCCCGTCCCTCCATTGCTTCGCCGTCCATGTACCCATCTAAGTAACACTCGCCAACGAAGTGCCATTGCTTGTTCTCCAGGGGTCTCAATATGTATGGTACGTTTCCGCCGAACAAGATCGCGACCGTGTCTCCCGACATCATGCCTGCTGGTCCGAGGCCGAGATGACCCGATAAAGTGACGAATAGCCGTCTGTTCATCAGACGTTGGAGTGAGGCGATGTAGCGGTTGATAGATTGGCCCTCAAGGGCTGCGTAACCTCGATCGTCGATTAGTGTAAAGGACCCGTCTGGTGTCCGAGGCCTTGCCTGTTCTTCCGAAAGGTTGATGATGGACTCGAAAGCATCTAGTGGCTCATATCGAACGTCCTTGTGCTCAGGAGTTAAGCCTGCTGTTGTCACTTGGAAGAAAGTTCTGTTGAAAGAACGCGTGGATCGACGGACGTGCTCCTTGCTCATGCCATAGAGCTGCGAGGTGAGCTTCGATAGGTAGTCTTCATGGCGCTCTGGTACTCCCGCATGAAACTTGGTGTCATCTAGCTTTGCCGTAAGGAGACAAATGCTGATTGTATCGACCTGCATTCCACGAATGCGGAGAATGCTTAACGGTGCATTTTGATCCATTGTAACCCTGGTTCCCGTAGATGCTTTGTTGAGCTTCTCAATCAGGGTTCGAGTGCGATGAGGACCCCAATACAAGTCAAAGGCACTGATGCGGCGTGTAGAGTCTGCAAGGTCCCATCTCGGTATCCATGAAGGGAACTGAGGATGTGGCGACGAGTCTCCTCGCGTCTTATCATGAACAAACTGCGATAAGATACTCAAGCTGTCGGTTTGTCGGATACAGTATTTTGCAGCAGCCGCATACACGTCCTGCACCGGTCGCGTATAGTCTGGTATTAATTCTTCGGGCCAACTCTTCGGAAATCGAGTTGCACTGCTGAGCCCGAGGAGAGCAAATACCTTGTCCCTTGGATCGGTAGAACAAAATGAATTCGTCAAACGCAGCAGGACGTCCAGGTGAGAAACTGTATCTTCCCATGCTATGTTCCAGCCCTGTTTGCCAATAACTTCCCGGATGCTATTAACAAGCTCCATACGTTCTGTACGATGCTTATGGCCAGACTTGTTTAGCCAAACTATAACTTCCTCGAAATGTGACCAGGACAACCGTTGGTTACCGCAAAGAATCTCGGGGCATTTTCTAGACACTGCTATCTCCTGCAGGATCCAGCAACGTTCAAACCATGGTGATTCCAGCAACTGAGCTAAATCGCCCCATCTCGTGTCATCGATTGGTGGTAGTCGGGCACCATCAGAGTAGAGGTAGTGAGTTATATCGGCCAGAATACTTTTCGCGGACTCCGCAATCTCTTGTACTTGTCAGTAAACGACGACAAAATTGTGGTATATTGATCATGTCACAGAGACCGGGCGTTTGGAGATATGCTGTGGTCCTGCAGGATAACACTCACTGTTCCTGAGCGGAAGCCAGATTATAGTACGTGTACTTCGCTGATAGATGGATCGCATCATGCGAACTTGCTGGGTACGTTCGGCGTTATCTTCTTGATTGATGCAAATCTGATCGACCCAGAACGACATGGAACGCTCTTCTACTGCATACACATGCAGTCTCTTTAGCCCCTCTGCCAGATTAGACGATATCTTTAGCTTAAATCCGTTGCATCTCAACGTAACACTCCGATTCGGGGAGCCCCAACAGTAACTGAGAGCGTGATAAGGCGCGTGGTTATCGAGCGAGACAGTTATCATCTTGCAACTGAGGTACGGGAACACAGTAGTGATCTCTATTAGGCGGAAAGATATAGGCGTGGGAAGCTTGTGGTACAGAACATCTGATGGATCTTCCGCCGGAAATCCAGGCAACGATGTGTCTCCCGTGGACGCGCCTGGAAGAACCGAAGAATCTATAGCAGACTCCATGTGTACTCGCTGAACCGTGTTAAATGTCGTAGTATATGGTCAGACAAAAGGATAGCCAATATACCCAGATACCGATATTTGTCTGGGCTGAAATGGACACAGTAGTGGTAGTAGTAGATGTTGGCCAGGCTGTGTCGTTGAGGTTTCTCTACCCCGACGCCACATGCTTGGCTATGCTGACCAGACCGCAGCCTGATGTTCTGGTTCTCGCATGCTGTCAGTGATATTGTGGCGGGGAAAGTACAGCTGCGCAATTGTCGCTTCCGAATCGAGATCATTGGCCGCTGGCAGCCACCTGCAGGACGGCGTCGTCTCGTCACTTCTTTGAGCGAGGCATCACGCTGCCGGCGGACCTAATGATGGTCCGTAACTGTATCGCAATCCGATATGACAGCGTTCTTGGATATCATTGTCCTGAAGCGGTCTTTGTGGCTGTAAAGTGAGGTGCTGGGCAACAGGAACGCGATTACCCCGCGAAGCGTTGAGCAACTGCGCAGACGCGCATCGAGATGTTGGAAGGCACCAATCCACAAACATCGGCAGATCTAGGCATACCTAGGCAGCTGCAGCTTGAAATTCACACGGCATGCATATTAAAGTCGAACGTAGCTACATGAAAGACCGCACATCTTTCTCATCCTCAAATAATCTCAAAAGTCCAAAGTCAAAGTCATCCATCGCATACTCCAGCAACCATGCCCACCACCCTCACAGTCGCAGACCACGAATCCAAAAGCTCACGCAGCCGAACCTACAACGTCGACACCCCAGAAAAGCTCCTCGCACGCACCAGTGAACGAGATTCCCAAGCCTGCAAATGGCTAATCCGGAGTTCGGTCTCCGCTGATGAACTCCAGAAGTCTTGCATTGTGGGCTCAAACAACGGGTTCGTCCACGCAGCTTTCGATGCATACAGCTACCACCATCATCTCACCATCCGCCCGGAAGACGTCTGGTTCGCAATTCTCTCGCAACTGAATTTCTACATTAACGCCAATGCTGAAGCCCTACGTGATCATTTCGTCTCGCACCAAGGACAGAAAGAGCTCGAGGTCAAAGACGTGGGCAGCATTCACTCAGTGGACATCGGTTCCTTAGCTCGACGCATGACAGGACTCATACAGGAGAATGTCAAGGACCCCGATTTGCGCGATTGGATCATGCCTGCGTTCAGCACGACCACAGTCAGCGATCGCACAACAGCTGCAGTACTCATGATGGGTACGATGCAAGCGTATTTCTCGTACAAAATGAGCATAATGTGTGGTATTCCCTCTGTCACTCTACTGGGTGAACGCAAGGACTACGAAGATATCCTCGCCAGGCTGGAGAAACTCGTTGAATTGGGTCCTGAAGCGAGTACATTCGCTGATCTACTGCGCCCTGTTCTGCGCAATTTCATCGCAACTTTCGATCCGGAGCAGGCCGTTGCCTCCCGCGACTTCTGGCAGAAGATCGCCCATCGCTCCGGAGGCGGCAGCGGGCCTTCATATCTGGGAGGCTGGCTAACGGCATTCTGCTTCTGGGACGACGAGGGCAAGTGCATGTATAACCTAAAGACAGGAACGCAGGATTGGAACGTCAATGATTCCGATAAACAGCTGTTGGAATTGGATGGAGTTTCGTATCATCGGGTGGATACCGATGATATTCCGAGTGGCTTTGCCTCTGTGCCTGTGTTGGTGAACGACAATGGTACCGAGTACAAGACAAAGATGGTTGCTGGATCGCTGGGTATCGAGATTACTAGCAGCAATGACTCCGATGCTGGGGCAGAGGAGAAGAAGCTGGATTCGCTGCAGTCGCTCAGTGGGTGGATGATGTATGAGATTGATCCTGCTCCCAAGAAGAACCCCTGGGAACATGACTCGGAAGGGGGTGACTCTGAATAACCAGTACATGAGGGTGTTGGATAAGGGTAATGACATTGAGCATGATGTGAAAAGTATGACGGACTAGTTTGCGAAGGATAAGGTTACCGGGTTTTCCTTATGGTACCGTACAAAACGTAATTTGAAATATATATTCTCTAACAATCTACACATGCGTTACCATAGTCAGGAAAGATCTAAGTTGCATGAAGAGCAAGCCTAGAGAAACAGCCCTCTTCGTCTAAATCGCAGGTATAGAATGGTGAAGTAATTGCTTGAATTTGTTTGCATATACATCTCAAAAAGTACAAATCAGGCTCGAAGAAAATCAACTTCTGCGCAAAATCGCAGGTTCATCCAGCAAAAAAGATGCGATGGCTCTCCCTCTACCACAACGATCCAAAAGCAATCTAGGTGAAAGCCATGCTCTTCTTGATCTCGGCAATAGCCAGCGCAGGGTTAAGTCCCTTGGGGCACGTCCTTGAGCAGTTGAGAATGGTGTGGCATCGGTACAAGCTCATGCTGTTGTTGAGGGCGTCCTGGCGCTCGGCCTTCTTCTCGTCTCGCGAGTCGGCGATCCATCGGTAGGACTGGAGAAGAACAGCAGGGCCGAGGTACTCCTCCTGGTTCCACCAGTAGGATGGGCACGAGGTCGAGCAGCAGGCGCAGAGAATGCATTCGTAGAGTCCGTCGAGCTTCTTGCGGTCTTCCTTGGATTGGCGGAACTCACGACCCTGGGACATTGTTAGCAGATGTCTATTGGCCGACTTCCAAGTGTGGACGTACGTCTGGGGCGGCGGTGTCGCGCTGCAGGTATGGCTTGACCGATCGGTATTGCTTGTAGAAGAGCGTCATGTCCGGCACGAGGTCCTTGACAACGTACATGTGGGGGAGCGGGTAGATGCGAGATTCCTTGGTTGTGTCGGTGGGGATACGGCCTGTCATGACCTGTTAGCCTTCCAAACTCCTTCATGCGATACGAATCCACATACAGAGACATGCCAGGGTGTTGACTCCGTCAATGTTCATGGCACAACTTCCGCAAATACCCTCGCGACAACTCCGCCTGAACGTCAGGGTGGGGTCCACCTCGTTCTTGATCCTGATGAGCGCATCCAGCATCATGGGTCCGGTCTTGTTCAGGTCGAGCGTGTACGACTGCATCTTGGGCTTCGAGGTCGGCTCATCTGGGTTCCATCGGTAGATGTGGAAGGTCTTGGTCTTCGCATCTTTGCTGGCCTCGGGGTCCTCAATTGTCGATGTCTTGCTCTCTGGGATGGGCGATCGCGACGCATCGGGTACAATCTTTTCGGCGGTCTTGGAGATGGGCTCGCGGGCGTGAACGTCGTTTACGGAGGCGAAGCCGCGGGAGAAAACTGCCGGCCGTACGGCTGTCGAAGAGCGTTAGCAGTGCTCAGCAGTCGCGGTGACACTGGACGATGTACGTACCAATTCTCCGGGTAGCCAGACGGGTGAAAGCGCGTGTGGAGGCCATTGTGTGTGGTGTGGAGTGGAGAGTGCGGGCTGGGGCTTAAAGATCAAAGTGTTGCTATCATCGAAGTTGTAGCGTCAGGGCGCCACTCAAGCTTCCTCGGTTATGACAACTGCCAACCCGTGATTGGTCGCGCATGTTCGTCGGATGATTCCGGCTTCTTCGGCCCTTCGACGCCACTACATCATCGTCGAAAACGTCAAGACTTGTGACAGTCATCTCACACATAAAGATCGTTCGCCCAGTGTTGTTCTGTACAGAACGCTTGTCTTTGAAGGAGTCATATTGCGACAGATCGCAAAGCTCAGCAAGGT